TGACTCTGCGTGTCCTCGTCCTCTGCCATCAGTGGCCCCCTCGCAGGTTGCTTCTCTTGTCCACGTGCCTCCTTCTCCCCACTCGTCCCCCTCCTCCTCCACTCTTTTCTCTGCTCCCCTACGGTCCACATGCTCTCCTCCTCGTCCTCCTTTCCCTGCACCTCCCTGTCAAAGTCCAGCAGCTCTTCCATCATCTCCTCTATCTCCATCTCTCCATCCAGCTCCTCTTCCACCTCTGACCGGAGTTCACCCATGCTCTCAGTCCGGTTGGTGTCATCTGTCTCTGTCTCTTCCTCTTCGCCGAGCCCCTTCAGCCTCTCGGGGGGGTCGCTAGCCTGACTCTCTCCAAACTCCAGGATGGTGGGCAGGTTGCCCTGCTTGGGGCAGCGCTTCCTCAGGCTGACCAGGAAGGACTGTGGCAGGGAGAAGATGTCCACATTGTTGCCCAGGTCAATCCATGTCACGCTAGGGAAACTTCCTGGATCCTAGGGTAGAAATTATTTACATAACAACAACATCACCACCACCATCATTTCATTTTACATAACTCTGCAAACAAATGAGATGAAATGAGAGAAATGAGATCACTGTCAGTATCTTCCAGCCACTGTATGCACATACAAAACAAAAAGAGGCTCCTTAAAACAACACTGGGGCTAAAATCCTTGATGTTTTCATGATTTTGTGGTTTCTGCCAAACACAGATGGTGGCAGGAGGTGGAGAGTCACAGAAAAAGTGATAGCAGACAGAGGATGCTATTCTTTGTAAAAATAAAATAAAATAAAGTTGTTTGTATAAAATGTGTTAAAGTGCTGACACACCAATACCAGATGAAGATGACTTTACTGTGGTGTCATTTGGCTTCCCAATTTTTATGATTAATTAGATCAACTATTACAATTAAAACTGACAAAGATGCCAAAATGTCCAAAAGAGCCTTTCACATTAAGTAAACTTCTGACCTTCAGGGCATCGGTCAGCTCCTTCAGAATAGCTCTGGTCAGCCTGTTTCCGTTCAGTGCCAGGGTCTCCAGGCGTGGCAGGGCAGCCAGCGTGGGCAGGAGCAGGAGGAAAGCCTCATCTGTCAGCTCTGTGAAGCCCAGCTCCATGCTGACCAGCGTGGACGCATGATGCTGCAGGTGTGAACACAGACGCTCCATGTCTCGAGCTGTCAGAGGGATGCCTGACAGATCCAAGGCGCCGCTGGATGGCGGGGCCGACAGCACCACCTTTAGACTAAAGACAGACACATGAGCAAATATTAGAACCAATATGTTTAATATGGCCAGCAACAAGATCTCTGTAGAAACTAGTTTGTGCCAATTGTGCATCGTACTTTCCAATATTAATCTATTTTCCAATAAATGCCAAGAGCTTATTTTTAAATTTTGGATACTGCATTGTAACACTTTACTCATTCCATATCAGTAGCTGCACATAATAAAGTTATACAATAATATCACACATTTTGCAGCATTAGCCATTTTCATTAATCACATCAACTTCACACTTTTTACAGTGATGATGAGGCAAAATGGTAATGCTTCTGTCGCCATGCTTTCGTCCTATTGTCTGTAATTTATTCGCTGTGGAAGCCAGCACACAATGCATTACACAGTAGGTTTCTTCTCCCAGTATAATAGACTTTACAGTTTCTCTCTTTAAACTCAAGTTGTACTCTTTCTATTGTGGAGTTAAAGACTTAAAGCAAACACAAAAGAAGGTCGACGCTGCATAATGTAATGTGCTCACAAGGTACTGCACCACAGAAGCTAATGGAAACTACATAAAAGGCGCACTTGAGAACCACAAACACTGTAGCGAAAGAGAGCTCTGGGGCCGCACAGACAAAGACAGACACTTCGAGGATTTAGAGCTTAACAAACTAAAGTCTGGCAAATGAAAAATAGCTGTTGAGCAGAGAAACATTAAAGATATACTCTCAAACAGCACTGTCCTAGCTAAAAATAAACCAGTGGGCCACCCGGATTTGGCTGAGAATTAAGTGAGTCAAGCGCAGAGGGCTGACCTGGGGTCTGGCTAGTAAAAAAAAAAAGAAATCTGAGATCTGAAGTTTAATTTTTCCAGCTTACAAATGAAAACAATACTTCTAATACACAGTGGACGTGATGGTCAACTCCAATTAGCACCCACAAATAACATACATGCCTGCTTGGTTTAGACACACACACAAACACACACACACACACACAAAGAAGAACACCTCATTTAGGATTACACTGCTGTTAGTAAATCTGCTTCAACTCTGACTATACATTGGCAGAACACCAGCTGCAGCAGAGGCCTACAGCTCTGATCAGCAAAAGATGTATTGAGAAACAAGCGACTGCGGTTCAGACTATTATTGTCCGTGAGCAGCTGAATATATTTATCTATTCACATGTCAGGGAGAGCTCAGAGGCCAGAGCAGTCCAAAGCTGAGCAGTGGACATGAGTCAAATTTAGCCCTCTGAGATGTTTTATTCACCCTTCCAAGTTCATTTATTGTTAAGTCTTTTTCAAAGCACACATTGTTGGAGTAGGAAAAACACAGCTATTACCAAAAACATTACGTCAGGGACTTAATGGGATACATGCATAGATAAATAGATAAATGTATTGTTTATTTCTTAATTCACACCTGTGATTTTCCTATTGTGACATGAAAAATGGCCATTGTGCCTTAGAGCCCGAGTAGTTCAGTTTTGTCTGCATTTGTCTACCTTGTCCTCTGTTGCCAAATATAATTCTGTCCAAGTAAATCTTGCTTTATCCCACAAAAAGCACTTGTTTAGTCTGCCTCTATGCCTACACCATGGTTGTCAGAGACCCGTGATGGGAAAAGCACTAAGATCTTTTACTTAGTGCTGAAAATGTAGCGGCACAGTACTTCACTGTAAAAACACTCCACTAAAAGAAGAAAATACCGCAAGTAAAAGTGTTAGTAGCAAATGTACTGTATGCTACTTTCACTGCTACACAACACAGGACAGGTGTGGCACATTTAGCTTGGTGACAGACTGAGCACAACCTGCTGTTTAATGGTTAAATCTGCTGAACAGTCATAATGACAGTATGTTTTATTTTTAAATTAATAGCTGTCCAGGTGCTTTTTTTTTGCCTGTGGCCTTGTCATGACAGATGTTAACTGTGGAGATAGTTCTCATCTGCTGTATGCTCCCTCTCCATCCCTGTTGTGTGCCTCATATTGCTCTCTGTGATGGGATTTGAAAAAGTCTCTCATGAACTACACAGCCTCAAGGGACCTCAACATGACCCTGCAATTTCTTTTGCAATTACTCCAGTTCAAATGTGACCAAAACACAACCCTGATAGATGTTTGTTGAGTACATTATGGTCAAAACAGGAACTCTTGCAAAAGAAGTTCAAAGGCATTGTGAAAATATGGGGAAATCAATTATATTTCCGTGTAAGTAAGATAAGCATCTCATTATTTAGCTGAACTTGCTGCAAAACGTATCACTCATACAGTATGTGGTTAGAAATTGCTGTATCACTCATACAGTATGTGGTTAGAAACTGTACTACTATTGTTTTGTATTAAACCAAAATGGCCAATAAAAAGCTGTAATCAGGAAATTTAATGCCTGACTGACTTTTTCTACTCCTCCTGCATCATTGTTACCACACTACCTTAACACATTTCCTGTGGGAAATCTGGATACTTAAGCGCCTGTAACAGCTGTTCTCTTCAACATCAGGAAGAGCTCATACTTGAAAATTAACATTACATGGATGAAAACACAGAACAAACACAGCCAATAATCATGTGGCTAAAACTTAAATCTGTAGTAACTGAGGTTTCAGCAACTTTAGGGAAGCAGAACAAGCTAAGAACATAACCTTGACTTATAGCCACTTTATAAAACTAATGTGTTAGCAAACACTGGCTTATTTATATGCCTGGCAACAAAGAACGACATTAGCATTCATTTGGAGTCCTGCTCCTGGCCACATAGAGGGTGTAAGTTCAATATTCATTCTCCTTTTACCACCATTTGCTCTCCACTAACTCCTCAGGGAAATATCTGACTCTTTAGATGCTAAATGCTCCACTATGTGCACCAGCTATTGTGGTTCCTACTTTTGTCTGTATGCTGTTTGGTTCTGGGCAGAGTTTGTACAATGTTGTACTCTGGACTCTTCTGGCAGAAAACAGCTTACTGCTGCTGGGAATAACACTGATGAGAGCAGATACAGTGAACCAAAACAGAGCTAAATATGCTAAAACACACTGTAGAGATGAGAGGAAGTGGCTAAATGTATAAGTCGCTGGGTACTGCAAATAGTAAGAGCCACAGTCAGCAGGGGCGGATCTAAAATGGATGAGGTGGCCAAGCTGGAGCACAGACTCAGACAGGGGTGGCACGTTTGAAATAAATGTTGAAGCTAATTTATTTTGTGTAAACATTAGACAAAAATAGTGATTCCTAGCTAACTTTGGCCGCTCTCCTTATTTACTCCTAGTTGGGGACATCACTGCTGCAAAAAACAATACCAATCCTACCCTTTAAGTTAACTCTGGTACAATACATTAAACATCAACAATTATATGCCTTTTAATATTGTATATAGTCTCTTATAAGAACTTGGATCACTCTTCCACAAGATTATAAAAAGTAATGTAGATGGAGGGTTTTACATGGAGTGGTCCATTTTCTGATCGGAAAATAAAGGTTATGACAACCTGTTCCTCATATGTGTGTTGTATTTTTATTATAAACAAGTCACTTCTTGTGAGTAAATACAAATGAACTGAAAGAAGGACACTGAGGCTGATGACTCTACTTCTCCCTGTCTGGGTAAGTGGTCTAAAACCGCTGCCCAGAGAGGCCCTGGAGGTTTGTGTTCTGGTTCAGTCCTACGCAGCAGCTCATTCCCTCCGCTCTGAGTGAACGTGTGCTAATCATAGGCATCGTTAGACACTGGGGCACGGGCTCCAGTTGTGATCTGCTGTGCCCCATTACCATAACACATTCGAGTCTTAACAGGTTCCTAAAGCCTCTTTGGCAGTGGATTAATTTAGGCTGATAATAATGGGAAAACAGTTGATTTGCTGTTCTAATCCATTATTCAAAGCAAAATACAAGCTGAGGCGCAGTGTACGCCACGATGGGCATATATCGCATACACACTGTGCACCTCGTAGCTGACTCACTGCAGTGCACATGCAGCAGTCCATGAATTGGCATGCAAAACAAAAGGAATGGACTGAGGTATGTGACAGAGACTAAATGAAGGTTTTAACATGCAGGTTTTAAACATGTTAACACACGATTACTGTACATGTTAACACATACACCCGTATGTTAACATGCATGCCAGCTGTGCTCAATAGCTTGCCATAAAGAAAGCTCATGATGTGTCTGGCTTCTACCAGAATCTCATACTACAGAAACAGAGACACCCCTGCTCGGAACGGAGGTCATCCACCCCTACCTGAACGTCATCTGAGACATGTGGGCATACTCTCTGACTTGCACATGGTACTGTTGTGTTCTATACATTATGTTATGCTGCAAATTGTTCTACTCTATTGCTACAATGGACACGCTGCTATGTAGGGTCGGGGGTACTGTTTCCCATCTTCCTGTTCTGCTGAACATCGTTAATAGTTGTTAATCTGAGTTAATCTCATGAGTCTTCCTGTTCTGCTGAACATCGTTAAAAGTAGTTGTTAATCTGAGTTAATCTCATGATTACTGGCCTCTCAGCTGTATGCCTCTAACAACCAGTCACATTCACAGGAATGGGATAGATGTGAGGATACTGTGACCGTTGACCACCAAAATCTAATCAGTTCCTCCTTGAGTCCAAGTGGATGTTTGTACCAAATTTGATAAAATTCCCTCAAGGCGTTCCTGAGATAGCGTGTCTATAAGAAGGGGATGAAAACATAATGCCTCCGGCCACAGCTATCTCACGGAAAGGAACAAAATGGAAACAACCACAATCAGAACATCACACTGTTTGGGTGCAGCTAATCTGAGAGACGCTGAGACCAAACATGGACCACAGATTTTCAGGAATCTATTTGGTGCCAAAAGACCCAGTGTTCCCATGGTGATAGTCTGATGACCTACGTGGCACTAATGATCACACTGAGGAGATAATATCTTGTGAGTCATAAGATACTCTCTCAACTTATCCCCAGAAATGTAGTGTGTATAAAGTTAGAGCAGGGACATCGTCATAGCCTGAATTTCATACTGCAT